AGTAAAATGCGTCGGAAAAAACAATGGTTCGAGTATTTGAGACAACCTTTCTTCTCATTTTTTCTTCTGTAACTTAGATGGAAGCGGCAAAGTCTTGAAATTAGTGTGATGTGTGGAAGGAAGTGATTTTAAAAATGCAAAAGATTGTTCTAGTCTTGTCTTGTGATTGTCTGGGCGATCGATGTAGATGATGTTATTTTGAAGGATGCAAGTGGCCTGTCGAAGAGCACAAAAGAATTGGATAGTATACTTTCATCGTGTCATTGCTATCTCGGTGATCATTTGAAGTACTCGCCTTCCTGCAAGCGTTTTTTAGAGCTTCAACTGTACTGCTAGTGCAGTGTACTTCCAATTTTGGCGAAAATTTAAAGTTTACAGAAGTTTATGTTTTCTTTCAAAAGTTTTTTTTGACATGAGCCACAACCGGCAGGGCCAATTAACAAAATAAAAAAGGTCAATTTCGAGTAAAGAAAAGAAAGGCAACGCTAATGCTAGAGATGTAATAGCTCCATCTGGTCAGAAATGGAGGAATAAATATGGATTTTACTAGAGTAAGAAGGTCTTTTTAGTAAAAATCACTTTCATTTATCATTTCAACTGCACAACAAAATCGTTTACACTCTTTGCAACCTTATTCTCCAACCTATTAAGTTACGAGAGTTGTGCGACAATTCGATGATCTGAAAAGGCTCTTATACATGCCAAACAACAGAGAACCAGTAAGGCTGATATTTAACAGTAAGGATAAAACACAAAATATTTCCAAAAGCCTTTTCTTATTAGGAATAAAACTAAATGAGGTCAGATTAAACTAATGTGGAGAGGTTTGTTGATCTCTTTATGAAAATGGATTTACATCTATCAGATTTTAGAGAAATGAGACTCGTGTAAAAAGGGGACTTTGACATTGCATATTCTGCAGTAATGGGCGTTGGCTTGGATGCCTATTTGCGGAAATTAATAGTTTTCAAGCCAGGGATTTGGCTGTGCTAATTTTAAGGCAGAAAAATCATAAATCAGTCACTTAAGCTTATAGCTCTGACTGGAAGCTCAAACACTCTTAAGGAACAGGACAATATTCCACCTGATCACTCCTCATATTCTTTTCCTATGAAATTTGGACAAAACTTTCAAAAAACTTTATTGGTAATTTTATAGTTGCAAAAAAGGTATAGACACAAGTTGCATATAGCATAAGCTAGTTGAGGCACGTTGTGTGGAGAGAACAAAAGCTTGATAATTTATACCAGTAGTAAGCTTTTGGTACTAATGACATTCTCTTGAATGCCAGCTTGCCACAGCAAATGTCACACCTATTCTTTCTGTCAATAGCACCGACCATATGTAGTAGGGTCACTTCACATCTCCCTAAACAGCAGAGAACATAATAGTTAATCCAAATCATCATTCTCAATTAAGAAATAAAAATCGAAGGATCAAGACTTATCTGGCAAAGTGAAATGCAAGTCAAACTGGTTTGAAGACATTTTAACCCGAAATTCGTTTTTAAATATGACAGAAATACTGTAGTTCACATTCTAAAGAAACAAGGAGTTCCAGCCCCTTGAGTAATTATCCATTTGTTGTATCGCTCAACCAGAGAAAGTTAGATAATTTTAATCTGCGAGTTTTATAGTACACTTCGACTCAAATTCATTTTGTATGGCAGGTCGGGAGTATTCTACTCAAACAAACAAGATAGAATGAAGCTGACGCCATCCGTTTCGAATAACACATGAAAATGAAGAAAACAGCACCAGTTTAAACTCATGATACAAAGCCCACGCATTTTTTTGAGGTAAATGAACTGGTTAGACCGAAAGCTAAATAAATAAACAATGGACTGACAGTGGTGAGGGATGTGGGGGCCATGTGATAAAACAAGTTCTACCGAAGTTTATCCTCTAGTTAGCACCTCAAGCCCAAAAGGGCAATCAGAAAAATTCTCACCAAAACACAGCAACAAAATTAGATAAAACCGGAGATGATCGAGGATAAACTATAAACGTTGTTAAGACATGCCTACATACCAAGTACAACAGACTTGGAGAGCAAAAAGGCCAAACACAGTTGTGGGCTATGACTTGGAAAATCCATCTCAACCTCCCAAAAAGGAATTCGCCGAAGGTTGTAGAAAGAGCAACTCAATCCTGCAGCTGGAACATTCTTTTAAGCCTCGTGTCCTATGGGACTACAAAGAGAAAGAAGAGAAGATGTTATTTGAAGTGATTTGAAGCTTGGGGGCCACCTCGAACTTAACGTGATTTTATTTCAAAGTTGAAGTAAAATAAGATCAAATTGTAAACTACCTTCTATTATCGTAACGAATATCTCACGATCGCCTCCACACACCACTTCGTGATTCATGGAAGTAAGAAATCGACATCTTAAGACTAACCTTCAAGTTTTTTACTCTCATGTGCACATCTTGATCGTCAGCAAATCAAATCTCAAACTTCAAGTTTTCGGTCTTTTTTCGCGTTTTGTTCGCACTTTGATCATTAAAATATCCTCATCCGAAGAGCCAGCAAACTCCAGGAGTATCCACAGAGTTAGAAATGGTGGTAAACTTGTCATACTCTTTCATCCCTCTCCAAAAAGTATCACAGAAAGGTGTCGATCGCTCAGTTGAGAACCTGCAAAAGCGCGCTGAAAATATCAAAATGGCGCCGAACGCGCCGAGCAGATTTTCTTGGCGCATGCGCAACCAGATGCCCCTCTGCTATTCAGAAGTAAATTGTAAGTATTAATTCGGCGGACGTATTAGTACCCAGTGTCGCGCTGTTAAAAGGAAGTTGTGCCTTGTTGTTAATATAGCAAATGTATAGAGATCCATTCTGATTCACCAAACCCTTCTTTTTAACTTGTTAAACGATAAAAATAGAACTATATTTAATCAGAAATATTGTAAGAGTTTCCTTATATTGGTGTTGAGAAAAAGAATGGAAATATTATATTACTTTAAGCCATTCGATACAAATTATAATAAGACAGGTTGATTATTTCTTATTCCTTTTGGCGATCTCATCTAAGTACAATTTCTTTCACCTTTTTCTTATTGCGGTTGTGAATTTGGTACGGAAACAGTTGCTCCGTTTCTAAGGTGATTAGATCTTGTTGTGCTATTTTGTGATAAGCTATGTTTTTAATTATGTCAATTTTCCAGTTGTAAATCTCTCTGGTAAAAGTTAACCTCGCACAGGAATTCCTGGAAACTCCTGCTTCTTTTTTTTTTTTTTGGTCAAATTCTAAGTCAAATTCACGATTCTAGAATATTTCTTAAATTTTAAGTTAACACCCTCAACACCTCTTCTTAAAAAGGTGACTCTGATTGTAAATAGCTTATGCTTTTTCATCTCCGCACTGAATTTGTAATTATATAACTTATGCGAATAGCACGTAGTTTTCTTAGGGGCGGTACCTTGGGTACGCCCCTTCTTCTCCGAATTTTCTGTTTACTCTGTTGTTATATAACAATCCTGTATGGCTATTTTCTCGAAAACTATCTTTTCAAGCGTAATTTCAATTCTGCCAATAGGTTAATTATAATTTTTATCTTATCAATCTTGTCTTCGTTCTGGCCGATCTTAACCGTAAAATGAAGAAATTTTGGGTAGAAGATGATTTTGTGATTGCGTAAACAATTCGAAAGTGCATACTTAGTATGCAGGAACTGTCGTACGTACTCTAACGTGATTCACTGGCTGAAACGGAGCGATCGCGGTGTAAGAAGATTGACAGCTTAGAAGTGTCATCTTTGGTGTCACCTTTATAAGCTGGTGCACAGTATCTTTCAATCAGAGAATATAGCAAAGTAGAACAGTGTGGACTTATGTCGAAAGGAATAAGTTGAACTGTAGTGAATAAGATCAAGACTGGCTAGTCCCCGAGAGTAAGAATTGGAGCTCAGCCAGGAAATAAAGGAAATTCAACCGAGTGTTAGAGTAATTCTTCTAACACTTTTCTATGCAAGAAACGGAACCGTTTCCTTCCTTTTTGAAACTTTTTTCGAAAATATTCGTTTCTGGTCGTTTTGATGTAATCGATAGACAAAAAGATGCGTTTTCAAACGAAAACGCTCCATTGTGTATGTGGCCTTAATTTCATCTTTTCTTTTATCAGAGCCGGGATGCCCTGCAATGTATCAACGATAGAACCACGTGACAGCAGCCTGGCTCCATCAATGAACACGGCAGACAACACTGGCATGCTACAGAATTATTGTTGCTGCCGAGCGATAAAGAGCATTTGGGGACTACTGCCTATCCCTAACCCAAACCCGACCATTTAGCTCATTAAAAAACATAATTACTTTAACAATCAGAGGAGATTTTCTAAGCCCACAAAGGAACAGGGACTTTGAAACTTGCGTATTTCAAAGCGCAAATGACGCTTTTTTAGCTCACTGGAAATTTTTCCATTCTTAGAGTTTTTCTCAGTCCACAAAGGACCTGCAACGTTAAAAACTTTCCGTTGTGCCCAGCTTATTGCGATATCTCTAACGAACCTTTAATTGTCTCGGAATTTTCCTTATTGACCGAGATATAAAGGCATGAAAAATAAAACGAGAGAAATTCGTAAATGAGCTTTTGAAGCTACCTTCCTAAACCTTGTTGAAAGTTTTTTTTTTATTTTGCTTATCAACCAAATTCTATTCAGAGAGGATTTCCTCGACCCACATAAGAGCTGTGACTTTGAAACTTAAGCAACACAGACAGCTAATTACGCTCTTTCCGACGTGTTAGACGTTGTCCTAGAAAATGTATATTAAGCATAGATATGAGCCTGATACTGTGACAACAAAATTCCGTTATTGAACTTTAGGAGACAAGTAATTGACCCTTGTAAAACGTGGTCAATGTTGCATATTGAAACAGTAAAATTACGTTGGCAACTAACAGGAATGGAACTAGTTAGAGAAGCATTAAAACGGGCAAAACAAAGAGGCATGACATACAAAATTATTTTAATGATTACTAGAAATTTAAGAAAAAAATTAAACTTAACTATTATAGAAATTTATATAGCTAGTGTCAATCGATGAATCTACGTCCCAAATATTCTATTAGGACTATGCCCTTATAAAATTTTTGGTAATAACTACAATCATCTAGTTAACCACTGTTCAAAATATTTAAATTTGACAAATAAATACAATAAATTTGTTTCTAAAAAATACTACAGCACATAAGAAGCGAATTAAAGAATGAGCAGTAGCTAACAAATATAGTGGTAAAACAAATATTGAATGAAACAATAGACGAGAGGCGAATGAAAACACGGATAGATGTCATAAATTAGAGAGGCTACAAAATTGACATATAACTAAGAAAGGACTCTGGAATTCACGAAAAGAAGGCAACGAGCGTTTTGTCATCCAAACAACGCATAAATCGGAGTAAATAAGGACATTTTTTGGGACAAATATTTGCAGCATGACCCCGACAACACGACGCTAATAAATAAACTGTGTGCTTTGCCAATAATATAATTTCCTTCGCTTATCTTCAATAACATGAAATCGTCATAATTCATGTGTAATATAGATTCAGTGACTTCATTAAATTATTATTTCCTTTTAAATTTAAAATGCTCTTTCTTAAAACGTCCTAAAAAGCCCGTGTAAGATACACCGATGTAGCAGTCAACCCTCCAAGATTAGAACTCAAAGCTTTTTCTGCTAAGAGTTACCTTGGGAGTATCACCTTAATAGCGTGGTTCCACATATCTGGGATATTGTACATCCGCGGTTTAGTTTGGGGGGAAGGGGATAAACTCAAGGATGTCAGTTTTGTTGGGTAAGTAAGAGGGTACAGCAGGCTGTTTTGAGACAGTTACTAATGGCACTGTTTACAAAACGCCACCTGCTGTGTTTGAAAGTCTCTGCATGGACAAAGGCGTCTGGCAGAAGGTTCTTTAGCCACGCATGTAAAGAGGACAGGCTGTTTCTGTAGCGTGCACATGTGGGTTGACACATCGTAACTTGGAGCTAACAGTGACTCTTCAGTCTCCACAGCGCTACACTTCATTCCAAACCTTGTGAAGGGCAATATGTATATCACATTAGAATTTTTCGTATGCAATATGGCAAAGAAATTTTACGAGTAAAAATACAAACAATGAGTTGAGATACTTAGCGATAATAAGTACCAAAACTTCTTATAAGTTATAAATTATCTTGATAAGGTTTTTTTTTATGTGCGTTAGAGAAGCGGTTTGCGACAGGTATTGCATAACGCTCCCTCCTGATTATAGTAAAAATAACCAACTGTCCTATTAACTGTAGAATGGCAGATGATATTTTTACTCGAGTCGTCCATTATTTTTACTCTACTAAGTGCAAATGTATCGTAAAAGCGTGTTAACCCTTCAAATCCTAACATCAATATGCATATTTGCCACACTATTTTCTATGCAATTATTATGATACTAACATGGAGAATATGCCTAAGACTGGAGAGATTCTTCAGCTAGTGATCCTTTTCTATATTCTCATGATCCTTCTGTTTGATTTAGCTGTGAAACTGTAATGAGAATATCGATAATATAGACGACAGCTGAGCCCCCTTCCTCTACCGCAGGGTTCGTAAAAGGGTTTGAATTAGTCAAAGATAAAAGTAATATAGGATATCTCTCCACACTTGGAAAAATTGAGAAAAAAAGAGACCTCCAAACCCTGGAAGTGGCTGGAACATAAATTCCTTTGATGGGATTACAACAATTTTTTGCTGTTTCGTCATCACTTACAATAAAATGAAGTACAATCAGCCAGCTCAAGATGGCAGAAAGGCGGCCATTTCTAAGTTGGCCGGCTACTGACTAATAGACTTCGCTAAATCTGGATTATCAACACCCTAAAATCATGCTCCCTAAAAAAGGCGGAGAGGACTTACTTTTTAAGATCTTCTGTAGTGTTAATGTCCACAAAGAAGGTCGGTTCACACAGTAGTTCTGAAAAATAAAAAACAAAAAAAACAAAAACAGAAAAAACAAAAAAAACAAAAACAGAAAAAACAAAAAAAAGGTACATGATAATGAGCCTATACAATTTTCAGAAGTGATTAATTAGTTAAACAGTATGTTGGGTAAAATTTTCACCCGTAGCGAAACTCTTTGACAATCTTGTGGCAAGAAGAATAGCAGGAGGAAAAAAAAATGAAAAGAAAAGAAATAAAAGACCCACCACGTTCTTTGCAGACATCAACACAGGATTTCCCAGCTGCACCCATCAATAGCAACATTTCTGATAATGGAGGCCACCGCTCGATATGCTCACAAAAGTTCTGAAGAAACAAAAAAAGATACATCTGTAAATTGATTTGTACCCTTCCTTATCCGGCCAGCACAATAAATTTCAATCCCATCCTCAACAACTCTTTATGAAAATATATGAGCAAAACCGTGCAGGATTTTCCAAAAACCCAAAAACTGAGCACTATTTGTTCAAGATAGATCTTCGAAACCGTTCAAGTTCTCTGCTTTTTTTCCCGTCAATAATTACCAATTTTCACGCTTTTTTCAACCGACCTTCCCTTGCTCAGTCTAGTTTTTCATGTTTCACTACTTACAGAGGCAGTCAATCTCTTCATCAACATTGATTAAGTCATAATAAATTATAAAAAGTATGATCTCAAAATCCCTCATTGGAACGTTTCTTTCTAAGAGCGAGTGAATAATAAAGACAACTTCATTTCTAACTTTATTTCGAACTATGGTGTAGTTACTTTCCGAAAGTGCATCAGTTACTTCCTTTACAGAATAAGTTGTACATGCTGGAAACAGCTGAGCCTGATAAACTCAACTTGCTAAGTAACGTACATGCACACCTTGGTACTCACATAATATTCTGTGAAAGCATTCACGCGTTCCAACATGCCTTTAGGCGTCCATTCACGAGGAAGGTAAGGCTTGACCTACAAGAACGAGTAATTCAATCGATCAAACAGGTGGTCTGATTTTCCACTCATCAGCCAATCATTCAGTCCGTCAATCACACCATAACTCAGTCAGCCAGCCAATTAGTCGGTGACTCAGTCACTCACTCAGCCGGTCAGTCTATTAGTCACCGAGACAAACAGTTGGCCAGGTTTAGTCTGGCACTCGTTCACAAACCACCCACCAACACAAAACCAGTCAACAAGTAGATCAATTTGTCAGCCCTCAGCTCGTATTCAGACAGTCAGCAGGTCAGTCAATCTCGATCAGTCATTCCTTCAGTTCGTGAGCAAGTCGATAGCCAGCTGTAGTTCCTAAGTCTCTGTGCAGCGATTTAGTTGGTTAGTCAGTCGTTTAGAGAGCTAGCCAGTCAGTCGTCAATCGGTTGGTCATTCAGCCACTAAGCAGATAAATCTGTCTGTTAGACAGCCATCATGTCAGCGAGTTAGTAAACCAGTCAATCAGTTACTCAATCAACCGAACAAATAAATGTAGTCACTCATTCAATCACTCACTCACTATTTCCAAGACAATCTCTCAATCGGTCATTCTAAGACAGCCAGTAACTCCTTCATCCTTATTTTATTTTTATTTTTTTGCGCTCCTACCCTCGCGCGTGCTCGCACTTCGCACCACCTGGCCATTTCCGATCGACTGAAAAACGCGAAAAAATTACGCCTATTCTGCAGGCTACCTTGAACCTCTCTAAGATGTAGATGTCACATCGAGACTGTCTCTATCAAAATCTCCCCTTCAATCTCATCACTCTTCTAAATGATTGTTTTTACTATATGAAGAACTGACACTTTATTCGCAAAGGCGTAAATACCTCAGTTCTTAACATCTCCTTCACAGCCTCTTCCACAAGTGAAAGATTAGAAATATCAACAGTGAACACATGCGGCTTTCCGATGAAGACTTCAGCGTAAGGATGTTGTGATGTAAGCTAAAAAAAACACAAATGACTAACATTACCGCAAATCCTCGTGATGTTGCTTAACAATAAATAAAAGCTTAAAAGATTACACATTTCCCTCAACGATGTTTCCCAGATTAGCAATGGTAATTGAACTGAGTAAAGTGCAAGTTGGTCTGAAATTAAACGCGTGATTTCAAAATCAAACTAGTGCTCAACGCAAGTTTGATAAGATATCAACCACTTTGTTACTTATATTTTGAAATCGCAAAAGTGAGTCTTATTGGTCCAATATATTAAGCTGGTTTGCAAAATATTGCAGAAGTCACCTCTCGTTTTCCTGCAATTTGATTGATTTCTTTAATCAGGCCTTGAAATTTGATTGATTGTGTTTTAGTAAAGCTGTCTCTTGGCTGGAAAAACGATGCAATTTAGAGCATAAAATGGTGCGATTTGTGAATAAATCGCATCAGCGAGAGCCATACAGAATTCAAGATTACGTGTGACTTAAAAATAGATGTAATAAAACAGAAAATCAAATCCGAGTCACACCCGCCAACACAAAAATAGTCGATCTCTTTCATTAGACTTCCGCAGAAGCCTTTGCAAACCTGACTTCATCTAACAAAAATATCATCTCAGTCTCTTACGTTTCTGAGTGTTGGTTTAACCTTGAAGAATCTTGTGTTAAGGCGATTATGCGGAGGGTCAAACTACAAAATAACAATTAGTAATAACAATAGTATACTTTTCAATTTTCATTATTCATATGTAACTCTACCAAAATCCAAGTCCTTACTACATGCTAAATTGTTAAAGAGAAAGATCTTTTTGACATCACATAATGCAAAAAAATTATATCTTTGTTTTATCTCGGTATATTCGGAAATTAACAAAGGGAAAAAAATTGTCTAAACAATAATAATAATAATAACAATAAAAAATTTTAAAAATGATGATAACAACGTCAATGATAATGATGATGATAATGATGATGATGACGACAAAAGTAATCATAACGATAATAGATAAATATTTTTTCGTCTTGTAACGAGAGTGGGACAAAAAAAAATATTCTGAGTCCCCATGAGGAATAGAACCTTAGAACTTCCAAAGGTCTCAGTTTTATAATAAGGATAAAGATGCAAAAATAACAGCACTCTCTATATAACCTTTTTCCTTGCAATTACCTTGGCATTTAAAAAAATACATCCTTGTGCTATTGCCTCCAAGGGTGCAGGGCCTTCATACGGAAATCCGAGACCTATGAAAACCTGAAATGATAAAATATGACATCAGCGCTTTGATCAGGCAAGACAAGGCTTCAATAACGTTACGTCACCGTCAATAATTGAAGAAATGTTGCACATTTATGGAGTTTTTTTTTTTTTTAATTAAAAAAAATAACATCTATGTTAGCGTAGAGAGAGTGGTATGTTGCTCGCACCAATCAGATCGTTTTAGGGTATGTATCTCGCACCAATCAGATCGCCGCATTAGGGTATGTATCTCGCACCAATTAGAGCGTCGTTTTTGTTCTTTGGTTTGAGAGGTGTTCAAATTTCAACGAAGTAATGAGGGATTAGAATGAAAAATATTGGCTTTTCTGTGTTTTTAACGTGAAATTTTACCGCGCTTTATGAGAAATGCGATTCTACTGGACAGATGAAAGATATCAGATTACCTATAGTACATGTGTTACTCATGCTGTCAAGATGGCGAATAGTCCTTCACGACGAGAGTGTGTGGAAAAATTTTCAATCAAATATTGCTTGAGGTGTTGATGAATTGCACCAAACATTTTGATTTGAGCTGTTCTTTAACGGCAGGCTGTGTTGCAATATTCATGATTTGTTGAGTGTGCCGATTATATTTTTCCGGATTGGTTTGCTCGGTGCTATATCTTGATGAATGTCTAATTAAAATTAACTATGGACGATTTTGTCTATGTTTTCGATGCCTGGAGAAAGTGATCTTGTGGAGTCGTTTGTGTTTGGCCAGGGACGAATTCAGATACCCATCGTTAGCATGTTTATTTGATTTTAATATCTGGAATGAATGATTTACGGAGGTACGTAAATATGATGCGATCTACTAACGTCGAAAATATATCAAGTCGAAGGAACAGTTTTGGTCTCGGTCCGCATTTTTGTTAATAAAATAAACACACACCACTTAAAAAGATGATAATAAGGACCACGTGCAAAGCTGTCGATTGTTTCTCGAATATTGCGCGTGTTAAGTATTCAAGAGTGACATCTCGCTGACATCTACATTTACATCCACTTTCATTACGTTGGTAAAATCTGTACAGACATCACGCCAACCAACTCGCGCGCAAAGTGAGACGACTATATAAAGGTTTAAAATTATATTACGATCGATTTTCATCAAGCAATGGGCCAGGAATATTCTACAATAGTGCAAATAATCGTGACAGCTGATCGCGCAAAGCGATTGCGTGACGCTCGGTAAGTTGTAAGATGACATGTTATCACATACCAGACGAAAAAAACTCTTTAGATTCTCAGTCTGCATTCTGTACCCACTCTGCAGTCTGCAGTCTACATTTTGTACCTAGTCTACACTTTGTATCCGGTCTGCAGTCTGCAATCTGCATTTTGTAGTAACAGGTATCCGTAGGACCAAGACAGTTTATTTTTGGTTACAGTTGTTCGCACAACACACACACAATCTACCACAAAATACCTGTGTGTGAGTTAATTCGACATTTTCGTTCTCTTCCGCGTTAATGCTCTTCTTTCCTTTTGTAAGAATGTAGACATCACTTACAATGTTTCAAGTAATCCACCCACCCCCCAAAAAATAACTCTTGCATGCATAGCATGCCTATGTCTTCTAATGTCTCCTTAACTCTTTTACTCGTAGGAGTGACCAGTATCTCATTCCTCCTTGAAATATAATCATTGAATCAAGCACTTAAGATTGTGAGATAAGAGGAAATGATGGCCAATTGGAGAAGTTCTTGATTGTTAAAAGAACACCCTCCTTGTTAGAACCGAAATGCATAGAAAGTAGCAAGGAGAATATGCATAATTATATTGGGTATATATGGTTTACGTGGGTTGTCTGCAAGTAATTACTGTACATTGCGCCAAAACAGCGTCCCTATTTCAGTCTGTATTAAAATAAAAGTATATCGCTGACTTTTGATCCAACGTCTTAAGCCTCTTTTTTTCAATTTTCGTGTTCATGCCTACTGGACAGAGGTGCCTGCTACATAAAGGATATCTTATAGGGGTAAATATGTGAACAGAAAATTAGTACTTAAATTGGATTATACGTTATTCAAGGTTGCTCTGTATGCACTCCACATACTCACCTTAGTTTCCTGTAAAAGTTTTTCCAAGTCGGGTTTACTAAGAATACCATGCGCTATCACGTACTCAGGGACATTTTCTTTGATCTCTGCTTCCTGAAAAGAAAAGACACCAGCAATTTTAATCACTAGTAACAATCTACAGGAAAAAATCATTATACATGCATTTTTGGTAAAGTTAAAGTTGCAGTCTGTATCATAATGCGACTAGTATTTAAAGCAGGACTGCTTCTCCTCCTGGAAAGAGATTAGAGACCAACGGTGATTAATCCACACTCGAGATGGTAAACTGAGCAGTTATGTTCGATCAAAGGTAAGGTTGCCTATTCCCTCAACCTCGGGTACAAATTTCTCTTCCTCTGACCTTTATCTCCATTATGATATCAAAGATGGAGGCAAAACTGTTCACGCAGAAATACTGAGAGCTTATTGAGGCACTGTCGCTAATAGCACTATATAACCTTAATTTATTTGCTTCAAACATTTTTCTCGATTAACATTTTTCTCTCTCTGCAAACATACCGACATAGCAAAGAACGTTCCATGTATCTCTAGATATTTATGTAACGTGTCAAGGTATTCTCTTTTTCCCTGCAAAGGAAGAAACGATACAAAAAATAAAAGGAAATTTGAACAGGGAGGCTTCAAGGACATCACCCTGTAAATTAGTTATCAAACAACAGTAAAGGATGCTTCGATCGTTTCAGCTTTATTTTTTCCTTTTCTTTTATTTTTTTCATCGTCACATAGCGTTTGTATTCTCAAGTGAATTGGCATATGGGTAACCATGAAGGCATGTGCGTCAGTCATCTCCTCCCACACCTTACGTGTGAGGTGTCACACAACATTTCGTTTAATAATTAAGACCTTCTATAGTAAATCCTTCGCTTCCTTTACTAGTAGGCGCCGGCTCCCATTCAAACTAGCTTAAAGCTGACCTTGGCCAGCCTGCATAAATATCGCCAATAAATAAATAAAGTAGCAGCGACGTCTCTCTCTTCAAATATTTTGTGCTTCTCTAAAAGCGTTAATAAGATCTCCTTTAAGATCAAGGTTTCTGTGTAACAAGTTTTGAGAGGGGATTTAGGATGGCTATGATCGGAGGCTTTTGCACGTGAAGTGGTCTTGGGAAAAAAGGCTGCTTTTCGTATCATTCTATGGTTGCTGATGTCACTCATCTCTCCCCCCCTCCTCCTTATCCCGTGCAAGGTTAATGAACTTGCAATAAAGGACAATTACAGAGGGACTCTTTCGAAGCTTTTCTTAGGCGAACAACAAGGACACAGATTGTGCGTCGTTAAAAATTTGCAGTCCGTGTTCATCGTGCAAATCCTATACAATCCTTGATCTCTCTTGGCCTGTTATTTTCCCTTTGGATATAACAATTTTCAAAACTTGCAAATGAATATTTAGTAACTTGTCAAAATATCAGACACAGTACGTTCATTTTTGTGCGAACTTGGCGATCGCTGCAGGCACGTCGCCAAAACAAAGCACACACACAACCAACTCTTTTTTCCGAGACACTATTCATATGTCTTCCTGGATGATCGAAGGAAAAAAGTTACTAATACTAGAGAGCCATTGGACCAGCTTAAAAATCCTTACCTGCCAGAATTGAACGTCTTTGCCATAAACGAGTCCAATCGGTTTTTTCTTCAATGGTTTAACGTCTTCTGGAATAGGTTCACCCACCACAAAGCCCAAAAACAAGTTATCTGGACTATGAGCTGATGACCAGAGCAAATAGTAATTACATTTCTGGGAGCGGGATTATGACTCAGTTCCCTCAGAAAGGGAAAAATCAAATTTAGTTCCTTACTAATTGGCTATAAACCTCTTACGCCTTCGTATTTATTATGATCCTTTTCGGCTCTAGTTTACGCGCAAGTGTTACAACTGCTTGTAGTATGTTCTTTTGTTTGTTGCTCCTATTTGACGGCATCCGAAAGCGTTGCAAGAAGGGGTAAAAAAAATACAAACAAATAAGATAAGAGGAGGATAAAAGTGACCGTACTCCTAAAAAATTGTCTATTTACATGTCATCGTGTATCATTTTCCTAAACCGTCTAAAACATCAGAGTATAAATCGTTGCAATTTCCTCAAATGTGGTGGCACTAACTCCTTTATTTTTCATTAATTATTTTGAAGAGTTGTAATCAGACAGTGTAAGCAGACAGTTGGCTGTAATCGGACAGTTGAAGCAGCCAATCATAAATCCACTTAGCTCATAGAAACCAAATTTCCAAAACTGGAGGAATTTTTAACTTTAGACATTATCTCCATTCGAGACATTTGTTTTAGATGTATTTGTTTTGTCTAAAATTGTAATGGTTAGGATTGATTGGTAACACGACTTCGTGTCATCCTCTATTTACAGGTCATCGTGTCGTCGTCTATTTACAAGTCATCGTGTATCATTTTACTTAACCGTCTAAAACATCAGAGTATAAATCGTTGCAATTTCCTCAAATGTGGTGGCACTAACTCCTTTATTTTTCATCAATTATTTTGAAGAGTTGTAATCAGACAGTGTAAGCAGACAGTTGGCTGTAATCGGACAGTTGAAGCAGCCAATCATACATCCACTTAGCTCATAAAAACCAAATTTCCAAAAATGGAGGAATTTTTAACTTTGACATTATCTCCATTCGAGATGTTTGTTTTAGATGCATTTGTTTTGTCGAAAATTGTAATGGTTAGGATTTATTGGTAACACGACTTCGTGTCATCTTCGTGTCTGTAATTATACTCGTGATCAACAAATAGGACTCCCGCTACGCGGTTGTCCGTTTTTGTTAATCACTCGTATGATTACAGACCTAGTTTGACTCCACTCAGTCCTATTACCATTAATAATCAGTTTTGTAAAAGCAACTTGAATAAACAGTATGGAAAGTCGCTTACGAAACATCGTCATGATCTGCCGAAGATTGAGATCAGCTCGCGCCCACATTGTCTTGTCGCCAGGTATCACACCTTCATATGCTCCATAGTTAAACTGTGCATCCGTTCCAAAGGAATCAAGAATTCTTATTCGGCATCTAGGAGTGGAATTACAAAATACCCACGTTAAACGTAAGACAAGGACTAGTTGAACGGTTTACGAAGAACAAAAACAAAAAAAGTGTAAACTATCGGATAAATCCAAAGATCGAGGGCGACAAACAAGTGCAGAGTAATGAAAATGACGAGATGTAAAATCATCGTAATCACCCTACGACCAACCGGATGAACGGAAACGGCACCATCCGAAAAAAAACAGTAACATAAAACCATTCCAGCGACCGCTGACTAAGCGAATAAACGAAAGAAGGAAAGAAAGAAAGAAAGAAAGAAAGAAAGAGCAAAGGAACGAAGGAACAAGTTAGTTCAAACATACATCTGACCTCTAGCCCCTATACTCACATATAAGGCGACAAATTTGGAGTAATGTGCATCAGCATGTAGGTAAACCCATTGTAGTCTGTGTAAATCAGGTCAAACTCAGGCTCAAATACATCAGAACAACCAGGTGACTTTGGAGGTGACATATAACTTAAAAAGAAACGTACAAAGTGTCATGTAAACAAGCACAGGATATCACTTATATAAATTTTCATGATCCATACAATATTTTTTATGGCGCTCGATTGGTCTAAACGCATCTCGTTACCGAATATTCCCCAGCTATAACTACGGGATATCCAAGAATATTCACGATTAACAACCCTGACCCTAACTAAAGGCAAACCTTACGCCCACTGCGATAAAACTACATTTTAACCCTAACTCCCAAGATCTGAATGTTAATTCTCCCTTCTAGCTGCTACACATTTCCTTGTAAATCAGTTATGAGAATTTAGTGTTAGATCATAATAACAACTTTTACCTGATTAGTTGGGGTTTTCTCAATACCTGTTTGCAGGATAATGTATGGATATTAGAAGGACAAGTTGCATGTTAATCGCTTCTGAGAGTTAAAGGGTTAAAATATAATTCAAGATAAGAGAGTTTTATGATTGCTACACAGGAAGGAAACCATCGAAGTCGTACCAGGAAACACTCAAAAGAAGCAAACAGTAAGCTGTTCGTATAATTTTTTTCTCGCGCGCTGCAAATATTTAAAGAATGACAAATAAAAACAGCCTCTATTTAGCGCGAAAACATGCATGTATATTTATCCTTCGCTCTCGAATATTGTCCGCGGACAAATATCTGCGCATATTTTCGCGCTAAATAGAGGCTACTGTTAATATAATTCGGCATGGACACATCTTCAAATGCTCCAACATCAACACAATCGTTGTGGATAATAACCAGGCCCAGGTTGTTCAAATCTGGGTTAAGATAACCCAGGGTTAGCATGAAATTTGATTTCAGGTCTGAAAGCTTTAAAAGAAAATTCACTTCAAATCTTTTTGCTTGCAATTTGATCACTGAATGTTCTAAAATTAAAATTTAACCCTGGGCTAGCACTAATCGGCCTTTGAACAACTGGCCCTGACGTACATATCAAAAGTAACCAATGAGAAGGCAAGTTTAACAAAAGGAAAAAGTATATAAAACACGACAGAGAAATTTTGAATCGAGTGTCGAAAAGGCAAAACCAAAGTTATCTCAGAAAAAAGATCAAAATCATCAGTAGCCAACTAGGAATCAAAGTGGAAAAAAGCAAACTCCTTGAGGTACGGGAAAATGTGAATGACAAAGTCGCGATTGTTTGAATTTATGCATATGATTGGTTGAGAAGATGGCGGGAGAGTCTTCTGGACCAATCATGAAGCAGTGTAAATTAAAACTAAAGCGATGCCGGATTACTTTCAATGAAAAATTGCTCTAAGGGGTTAACGCACGTGAGAAAGTGGCAATTTAATCATTACTGTCTTAGTCTTAAAAATTTGATGGGTTAAGAAGATTGCGTAATTATTCTTTACCAATCGCGGAATAAAAAGGCACGACCCATCAAATTTTGAAGTATGTTTGACAACGCTTTTCGATCATATGTCACAAAACCAATTCCAAAGAACGTACATGTAATCACAACTCTGAACCAATCAGAGTGTAGAAAAAGGACACAAGACTTGAAGTAAGCAATAGAAGCAAACAGCCTGAAGCGCGGGAAAATGAAAGTGACAAAGTCACGATCAGTTTTAGATTTGCGTTTGAAGCGAAACGAAGCAAAAGGAAACTCGACACTCAGTTCCTAACTGCTTTAAAATTGCACTGAAATTGCTCAACTCAAACTTACCTCTGGTACGTAGTGGAGTTCACGGAGAGTGTCACCTCATGTCCCAATATGTACAACGCCGCTACCAGATCGCTCCACTGAACCATCTCTCCCAGAGGTGCACCGGTGAAAGCCATATCCAGCCACATGGGTTGATAAGCATACGTGCCAAAGAAAATAAAAATCTATGGAAAGAGTTAAAAACAGTGTCTTAGTCAACTTGTCTCTTGCTATTGTTTCGCGTTGGAGAATGAAATCGTTTCCTTGAAAATGCAGACCAAGGTTCTTCGAGTGTCCCAAAACTCGAATCTCGATACTCGACTCTCAAGAAATGACTACCTTTTTGACGTGATGTTTCCTGCGTAGCGATCCCTCTGCTGTGAACTGTTTGGCTGCTGCCACCCATTGAGGCCACATTCTTGTGATACGTTCACGCATCCACCGCAAATTCAATTTATTCAGGGTGTCTATGAATGTCTGATCTAACTCAAATCTCATTTCTGCAAGCTAACAGATGACAGTAATTTGACCCTCGGCAACACCTCCATTTAAGTGTATAATCAAGTTCATCGACGGCAATACTCTTGACCACAGTTGATGTTTACATGAAAAGACCGAAATGGAAGGTCTGTGGTACCCATCTTCAAGCTAGGCTCAAATTTGTTTCCCTTACTCCCTATTCGTGACTTTCTTTTCCCTTCATTTTATTGGATATGTTTTGCAGTAATCATTGTTATAGTAAGGCATATGTAAGTCTATACCTGAGGCAAATGGCCCATTATTCAAGGAGACTCCTGGTTTCCGTAGCAATAAGCAAATTTGGCTATTTTCTGCTCCTTACTCGATGAAATTATGGTTCATATGACCAGGCGTTCTCTGTAGTGACTGTAACTGTGCTGCCTTAGCAAGCACAGTCTTAATGCATTGTAGGCGAGCGAGCAATAAAGATGGCGGACTGAAAGGTATTTTTGTTTCTCTGCGGATACTCCGCTTGAATCGAGGACTTGTTTGTAGTTCAGACATTCTGAATCAGAAAGAACTGTGTTTGGGCTAAGGTTATTTGGTTGCATTCTCTAACAGTACCTCGCTCAAACCAGGATTACAAGAGAGTTCCACAACAGAAAATAACCTGATGAGGTGCCGGAGGGTAACCTATGGCCACTTGTGAAACATTTCTAGATCATATGTACTTGTGCGTATTTGAAAAAATTGACTACGCATATGTGCTTGAAGCACATATCAAACCTAATTGTGACAACTGAAGAACATCTTAGTTTGTGAATAGAGAATGATACATGGGCGCGAGTAGATATGGAATTTCTCTTCGATTGTTGAATTTGATAGCTCACGAGTAAGCGCAGCGAACGAGTGAGATGTCGAGTTGAATACGACTTTATCATATAAACACGATTTTGTTTATCATGTAAACACAATAGCCCTTTACTGACGAGGAAAGCCAACTTTATTAATGAATGAAAATAAATGAATCGACAATCCCCGAATAACAATCGTAAAGTGCGTTGGCGCTAACTCTTAGGATGGAAAAACGCGTTGAATCATGATTATAAAAACAACAATGGACGTAATTTCCAATTCACAAAATTATCATTCATAGAGTTTGTCCTCACTGACAGAAGAAGTCTTTCAGGTACACGGCTAAAATCGGCGAGGGGAAAATCCTCCAGTTGTCGATTTTCATTCTCAGCCGCGAGAAATGCCATAACCAAAGCCACTGAGTACGTAACTTTCGGTTTTTCTTTTCGTGGGTTGGTTTTCTTCCCCTTCTAAGAAGGTTTGAACGTCACTGTCTGTGAGCGATAAGGGTTTTCTAGTGTTTTAGCCGCCATAATCTGAGAAAGTTTCGACAATCTACCTTGTAATGAGAATGGTGAAGGCTTTGCCGTTCATTCAACCTGAACGAGTGGCGCGAAAAGCGATTCAAGTTTCAGCAGCTGATATCAAACACACGTGAAAAAATATCGTATTTTTTCACGTGCGTTCTTACGGCTTTTCTCAGGGCTGGAAATCCTTGTAGAACACTGTAGGTTATATTATAAATTAATTTTATCGTGTAAACTACTGTGTTCTACAAGACTTTCAGGCCTGAGAAAAGCCGTAACAACACAGCTACAAAATACGCTATTTGTCCACGTGTGTTTGATATCGCCAATCAGCTGCTGACACGTCATTCACCTTTCGCGCCACTCGTTCAGGTTGATGAAACCAGGGTCGTTTGTCGGAATTTTCTCAGAGTATGGCTGCTACAACACTAAATAATCCGTATCGCTTATAATTACCGAACGTAACGTTCAAAACTTCCTAGCCGAGAAAGAATAATCAAAATTCGAAAAGAAAAACGTATTCAGTGGCTTTTGTAATGGCATTCCTTGCGGCTAAGAACAAAAATCGACCTCTGGAAGATTTAAGGCACAGGCCGCTGTTGGCTGTGTACTTGGAAGATTTCTTCTGTTGGTAAGGGCAAAGTCAATAACTAAGAATTTTTTATAAGGAAAATTACTTCCATTGTTGTTTTCGTGGTGATTCAACGAAATTTTTCATGTTGAATCTTAGCGCCAACGCTCTTTGCAATTTTTATTTAGGACTGTCGATCCCTTTATTTTCATTCGTTAATAAAGTCGATTTTTCGTGTCAGCGAAAAGCTATTGTGTTTATACGATAAACAAAATAATACATGGTTGCTTGTAGATATGGAATTATTCTTCTCTGTACTCTAACCTTGGGTTCTTTGGTACTTGTACTGTTTCTCCGCCGCCATGGCAGCAATGGACAAAATCTTTCAACCTGTGACGGAAATTGCAATACCAATGTGTATTAGTGCAGTAGAAAGTAGAACAGAAGGTGAATATGGAAAAGGTGTACAATACAGTGTGCATTTAGAAAACTGCACACTCGAGGTTAAACAGAAATTTAAACTAAGAACATACCTCACTAAGGTAAATAATGGCAGAGCAAAGGTTCTCTGGCTTCAGTTTGTGTCTATTAACATAGCATTCTGCATTTGTTCCCCAAAGTTGCTGTATGTACTGAGAAGTTGATTGAGGCAGTGAGTTAGTGATAGTCACATTTTATATAATGTCAGTAAAGTGTTAGTACATAATTATAATTAATGTAAAGATTTTTAATACACAACATGCAAATAGCAGATAAAAAATTCTTAGGAACTGCAACAAAGACCCTTGAAAAAAAGATACATTTGTGTTCTATTTGGGATTGTGCGAAATTAAAAAAATTAAAAAAAACAATTGGACAAAACAAGCTTGTCATTTAACTTACAATAAATTTCACAAAAAATCAAGAAAAGAAATGATCCTTGACTGCAATTTTAGCAGATGCAGAATTGGAGCAAAGACAAAATTTACTTCATTATAAGTTAACTGTTGTCAAATTCATCTAAGGAATAGATTAAAACCCCCATAAATGTACCATGTGACCAACGTGTAGCTTTCTATCTGTCAGTGGGTTGTTATTAAGTTTCCAACTATATCTGGGAGACAACCACTCTTAAAGTCCTGGTTGTGTAACAGGTAAAAACCCGAAAAGAAACATTTTATATACCATTAGTCAGTCCTACATGTACATGCCAACATTCGGAAGTATGTACTAAATGTAAGTTCTGTTAAATATCTTACTTGAATCTTTGATTCACAAAATGGGAACAACCAGTCATGTGGAACCTGGCATTCTTCTTTGTTGGGCTTTTCTGAGTTAAAGAAAATGAAAGAATGGGAACAACAACAAATCAGAGGAACATGTCATGAATAGCTTCTATAACAACTGCAGTACCTGTATATCTAAAACAGTGTTGTAACTTATATATTATAATAGTGTATCACCAAATCAAACTGATTTATCTCAGGACTGACAAAATCATTATCAACATGCATGTATCAGACTGACTGAATGTCACTGACTGCCAGAATAACTGACTGTCTAGTATTCTGGTTTAGACTGAACAACTTTTAGAATGACAAACACACTGACTGAACAAATAACTTAATCACTGCATGACAGACAGTGACTGACACTATTATGATGCTATAATGTAACTGACTGACTGGTTAACTTATTGACTCAGTGATTAACTTAGACTGACTGACTCAGATGTCTAACTGACTTAAATGCCTAATTGACTGACTCACTTACCAATTAACTGATTAACTTATCAGACTGAGTGACTAAACTGACTGACCAAATCACTGACTGACCAAATCACTGACTGACCAAATCACTGACTGACCAAATCACTGACTGACTAAATCACTGACTGACCAAATCACTGACTGACCAAATCACTGACTGACCAAATCACTGACTGACCAAATCACTGACTGACCAAATCACTGACTGGGCAGTTGCGGACAGACTGGCTCATTAACTGACTGATTTAACTAAATGCTTGCTAGTCACTGCTTGATAACACTATGGAATAACAAGCAAAAGGTCCACTGAGCAAAAAATTATTATGCAAATTATTCTTATAATAGGTCTAAAATTTAAAGCACCTGAATTCTCAACATGGTGTTCAAGCATTTCTACTCTCTGAATGACATCTTCATTGTTTGAATCATATGCAACAATAAATAATTAAAGCAAAATAAGTATAATGATGAAAACATTTTGTACAAGATTGAACAAAAAAAATGTTGTTACTTCTAAACTATAATCATTATTATCATTAGTATCATAATTATTGTAATAAAAATTATCAAAACCATAGGTATGAACTCAAAATCATGCCTGTTCTGCAGGCTGCAAGGTTGTGGGTGACTGATCACAACTTGGGTATTATCAGATTACTGTATTGACAAAGGTAAGCTTTATGTACTGGACTGAACTGGACTGGACTGAACTGAACTGAGCTCTGCAAAAGAGGGCATAAGGGGGGCAGGAAGAACCAAGATTAACATCTCTTCAACCTTTTATACCCTAAGATCAGCATGTGTATTCTCTTCACTCCTCTATAAACATTTCCTTTGGCACTGACAATGAAAATTGTTCTGGGAGTTAAAGGGTTAACCCTTTACACCCTAAGACATCGGCATTCACATTCTCCAGAGTGTGCTCTTTACATTTCTCAT